GAAGTTGCTGTAGACATTACAAAATATTTAGGAGTCTACCTGCCAAAACAAACCCAGCAACTGTATGAACACAATTACAAAATACTTTTCACACAAATAAAGTCAGATTTAAATAGTTGAAAAAACATAAGGTGCTCATGGGTAGACCAAGTTAATATAAGAAAAATGACAATTCTACCTAAATTAATTTACTTATTCAGTGCCATACAAATTAAACTGCCAAAAATTATTTTATAAAGCTAGAGAAAAATAATAACAAGATTGATTTGGAAGCACAAAATGTCCACAGTAACAAGGGAAGTGATGAAAAGAATTGCTAGAGAATGTGGCCTAACTGTTCCAGATCTTAAATTGGATTATAAGGCAGCAATCATCAAAACAACTTGATACTGGCTAAAAAATAGAGGGTGGGTCAGTGGAATAGCTTAGGTATGCATGACACAGTAGTCAATGACTATAGTAATCTACTATTTGATCAATCCAAAGACCCCAGCTTCTGGGATAAGAACTCACCATTTGACAAAAACTGCTGGGAAAACTGAAAAATGTATGGCAGAAACTAGGCACAGACCAACATCTTATACCCTATGCCAAGATCAAATCAAAATGGGTAAAGGATTTAGATATAAAGACTGATACTATAAGTAAACTGGGAGAGCAAGGAATAGTTCCTCTTTCAGATCTTTGGAGAAAGTAAGAATTTATGACTAAATAAGAGATAGAGAACATTAGGAAATGCAAAATAATAATAATAATTTTGATTACATTAAATTGAAAAGTTTTTGCGCAAATAAAGCCAATGCATCCAAGATTAGGAGGAAAGCAGAAAAATGGGAACAAGTTTTACAACCAGTATCTCTGACAAAGGCCTTATTTCTAAAATATGTAGAGAACTGAGTCAAATTATTAAGAATACAAGTCATTCCTCAATTGATAAATGGTCAAAAGATATGAACAGGCAGTATTCAGAGGAAGAAACTAAAGTTATCTATATTTGTATGAAAAAATATTTTAAATCACTATTGATTAGAGAAATACAAATCAAAATGACAAAATGAGGTACCACATCACACCTATCAAATTGACTAATATGACAAAACAGGACAATGAGAAGAATGTGTGGGAAAATTGGAACACTAATGCATTGTTGGTGTAGTTGTGAACTGATCCAACCATTTTGGAGAGCAATATGTAACTATGTCAAAGGGCTATGCAAATGTGCACCTGTGTACTTTGACCCAGCAATAGCACTTCTAGGTCTGTATCCCAACGAGATCATAAAAATGGGAAAAGGACCCACATGTACAAGAATATTCATGGCAGCTCTTTTTGTGGTGGCAAAGAATTGGAAATTGAGGGGATGGGGGAATGGCTGGACAAGTTGTGGTATATGAATGTAATGGAATACTATTGTGCTATATAAGAAATGATGAGCAGGCAGACTTCAGAAAAACCTGGAAAGCCTTGTATGGACTAATGCTGAGTGAAATGAGCAGAACCAGGAGAACATTGTACACTATAACAGCCACATTTTGCTATGACTGACCTTGATAGACTTGGCTCTGCACAGCAATGCAAGAATCTAAGATAACTCTAAAAGACTTATGCTGGAAATTGTTATTCACATCCAAGAGAAGAACCATGGAGTCAGAATGAAGATGGAAGCATACTATGTGCTCTCCTTTTCCTTTGCTCTTTTTTTATTGCTCCTTGGTTCTAATTGTTCTTTAGATCGTGACTAATGGGAAATATGATTAATTTGGATGTTTAAGTAGAGCCTATATTAAATTATGCACCATGGGAAGGGAGAAGATTGGGGAGCAAAAAAATTTAAAACTCAAAAGCTTATTACAGAAATGGACATTAAAAACTAAAAACAAACTAATCACAAAAAAAAGAAGAAAAACCACCAAAATCAAGACATAATTCACTTTCTTTACACTAGTTGGGATAGAGGACAGTACTGAAGAGAAAAATAAGGCAGGACAGCCTCAGGAAACTTAAATGCTAATACACATAACAAGAAGGACTTGATTTAATCTTGTGCTATAACATGAGAAGACTAAAGGAGAACCCACTCAGTCTGTGTTCTCTTCCTTCCACCCCTTCCGAAGGAAGAGAAGAACGATCATCAATGGCATGTAACAACCACTAACAAGCAGTGTCACAAACCGGCTTCACGCTCAGAAGAGAACACCACAGCTCCTCCTCGGTGGTTACCTCCGTGCTACACTTTCAGCCACAATTCTCTAGTAACACACTATAGAAATGATCCCTGAAAGTATAGTCTTAACCAAACACTCCAACCTGACCCCAGCGCCGCCAAGCCCACAACCCTTCCACTCATGGCCACCTTTCCACACTCTACTGTCTCCACCCAAAAGCCACCCAGCACCCAGCCAATCCACACCACGTGCATCCCCAAACCCTTGCACACAGAGCCAAAGG